TCCCTGAACAGACTCCTTCTCAGACCAGTAAGACAAAGAATTGGACTCTTTTGCCTTGAAGGCTCCTGCATGTATGCCTCTGCCTCTGCCACGCACTTCCTTGGAGTTGTTGGCTCTGGAGAACAGCGCCAACCATGCTTGTCAAGACAGTGTTACAGAAAGCTTGCCCTGTTGTTGCAGGGTTGACACTGCTGTTTGGGGTGCTATGAACAGGGCTTGAAAAATTTTAGAATGTCTCACCAGTCAGTCAAAAATTTCACCAGTCAGCATGACTGGACTATAGCCTTGCAATTTATGTTTAAACTTAAATTTAAATTTAAACTAGGCACTTTCTACATAAGAATGCGTACAAACCCGAAATAAATATACCCTCAGACTTGGGTTGCTTTATTACCTGCGTGCCTGTTGGGTCATGAAGCTTGTATTTTGTATTTTTGCTTTCTTTTGAAAGCAAAAGCTCCTGGACTCTTAAGGAGCCAGGTCCTTCAGTTGAAATTGGGAGTAGGGAATCTCCATATTCTCCAGCATGGAACTACAGTGGTGCCTCGCTTGACGACGATAATCCATTTCAGCAAAATCGCTGTAGAACGAAATCGTTGTCAAGTGAAAGTAAAAAGCCCATGGAAATGCATTGAAAACCGCTCAATGCGTTCCAATGGGCGAAATACCTCATCGTAAAGTTAAGATCCTCCATAGGGCGGCCATTTTCTGGTGCCTGCAAAGCGAGGAAACAGAGTGAGGAGCCATTTTGAAACAGCGGGCGGCCATTTTGAAACCCAACGATCAGCTGTTTTGATCGCTGTAAAGCGAAAAATCGATTCCTGAAGCAGGGAACCGATCGTTGACAAGCGGATTTTCCCCATCTAAACACCGTTTTGCAATCGCAATAGCAATTGCAAAATACTCATCGTGAAGTGATTTAGTTGTCTATCGGGGTAAGCATCTAGCGGGCACCACTGTACTCTACATTCTCCTGCAGAGCTATATATCTATGTGCCAGAAGAGGGCTGTTTTTCCTTTTGCAATGGGAAGGGGGAGGGGAGGACTGCAGGATCAGAGAGAGAGAGAGAGAGAGAAAGGGAGAGAGAGAGAGAGACGTGACTAAGGTAAGGAAGCAAGGAGGGAGGAAGGGAGCTGTGGCTTGTCAAGCAGCGTTTTAAGGGAGCTGCGGCTTGTCAAGCAGCGTTTTTTCAGTTGTCACAGAGGAGTGAACAAGTGGATTTTTCAAGCCCTGGCTGTGAATATTGCTAGTTTCTTCCTTCTCTGTGTGACTCCTTGCTGCTAGACAGAACTTCACTAGCTACTACTGCATGTGATGGAAGGTTGCCTGGCATTGCCTATTGTTTAATTTGGGGATCTAAGAGGTTTGCTAGAATGTCTCCTTCTTTCACAAGAAGCGGAGCAGAGCAGGTCCTTTAGCTTGCTGACCAGGGCCACCACTTCAGGGAAGGAAAAAAATGCCATTCTTCTTCTATGGAATTGCCCATCCAGTTAGACTGTCTTCTTAATACGAATTTCATCATGCCAATCAAGCCCTGGAACACTGGGTCATCTGGCTAAGGAGGGCTCTCCAAAAAAGACCTGTGTTGCACTCTCAAAGCTTCAGAGGGCACAGACAACGTGACCCTTTATGTCCTACTCCCCACTGCCCAGAGGAGCAGCCACACCAATGGACGTGCCATTTACTGCCCCAACACTCTTTCAATCAGGTAGAAAGTGGAGTTTCATCCAGCTGTTACATCCTGGATTAGGTGGTGCAGTGGAAATCCCAATTTTCCTTGTCTTTGCTGCAACAGCTAACCGCCCCAGACACTGGTAAAAATGCCCTGTGATTTTTCTGGCCCACTCAACTATATTAGGTATGTATGTGACTTTTATACATTGCAAAGCACCCCAAACTATTAAGTTGAAAGTGTGAGCCTTACACTTCAACCCTTTCATCCCCCCAACCTGCAGTGTTACCACCATATTTGCCCCAGTGTCTGTGACTAACAGACCTTGCCTTTCTGTAGCTAGGCTCCATGGCTAAAGCATGTCCCTCGGAGCCTGTGGAATGTTGTGCGCTTTGTGGCTGCCCTTCATCACAGCCACATTCAACAAGGCCTGACACCACCCTATGTGCAAGGGTAGTTTGGGACAGCGGTAATAGGTGTCAGTTCTGCCACTAACCAAAGAACAGCATTCTCCACCAGAAAAAGAGGGCTATCTGTTCCCCCAGTAAAAAAAAAAAAATAGCCCTGAAAGCAATGGTAATCCTTTCAGAACACCAATCTAGTCCTACTTCTGAATTTTGCTTTCTGCTAAGCAGTTCTCTAGAGATAGAAAATACATGGGTTTCCTGATTTAAGTCACGTATGACAGCAACAGACATGATAGAACCAAAAAAGGAGCTCTGCATCTTGAGACGGCCATCATTCTAGGAATGACAGCATTATGCACCAAACCAACTCCCCCTCACCCTTAGCACGTTTTACACGTTCCTTTCAAACTATAGTATGCTAGTGATTAAATACTACTTTCATTCCACATCATCCTAAAGGTAGTGAACTGTTGCGAGATAATTGTACAGTGGTGCCTCGCACAACGATGTTAATTGGTTCCAAAAAAATCATCGCTGTGTGAAACCATCGTTCTGCGAAACACCATTTCCCATAGGAATGCATTGAAAACCGGTTAATCCGTTCCAATTGGAACGGATTGCCGTCCTTAAGCGAAAATCGCCATAGGAAACATCGTTGAGTGAAACGCGGTTCCCCAATTGAAATGCATTGAAGCCTATTCAATGCATTTCAATGGTTTAGTGAAGTCAATTTTTGCAAATTTAAGTGTGTCATAAAAGGGTCAAAAAGCAATACAGTACCCCCGTTTAAAAAAAAACACTGGGATGAATGTAATGCTAAATTTTTTTCTCCCCCACCAACTTTTGACAGCTGTCAAAATTTGACAGCTCCATTATTTCCTATGGGGGAGGAAAAAATTCACAAAAAATTAACGAAGACTCAGAACAAAGCCAAACTTAGCTTGCACACGATTTAGAAGGTCCTCTAACGAACCCCAGCATTTAAAACAGTTGCTGAGTTTTCGTTAATTCTTCGTGAATTTTTTTCTCCCCCATAGGAAACAATGGCGCTGTCAAATTTTGACAGCGCCATTGTTTCCTATGGGGGAGAAAAAAATTCAGCAAAAATTAACGAAAAGTCAGCTCAAAGCCAAATTAAATTTGCACCCATTTTAGAAGATGCTCTAACGAATCCAATCATTTAGAACCGTTTTTGACCATTTTAAGACACTTTTTAAAATGAAAAACCAAACATCGTTATGGGAAGCAGGGGACCTAAAAACGCATTCGCTATGTGAAGCATGGTCCCAAACTTCGCTAAGCGAAAATCGCCCATAGGAAACATCGTTAAATGGTGCATATTATTTTCTAATAAAACCCATTGTTATGCGAATTCATCGCTAAATGAGGCAATCATTAAGCGAGGCACCACTGTACAAACATAAAGTAGCTAGCTTCTGAGTTAGACGGCTGAAACTAAGTATCGACAAAGTCAGATACCTGAGATTTCAGTCAAAGACAACAAAACATTTTATCTTTCATTTATAACCACAAGTATTCATGTAAACAGGACCTGTCAAATGAAATATTTTTCACAGGACATCTTGCCACAAGTAGGTAGACAGTATACAAGTAAAATGGGTTTTGTTTTTCCCCTAATCTGAAAAATGAACTGCACAATCCTCATTTGCAAGGCCAAATAGCTAGGTACAACAAGAGAAATAACTGAAGATCTTTTAGACATGCACTCTGATGGTTATATACTGTAATTTACAAGATGTTTTAAGATGCCTACTCCTGTCTCAAAGCTTTATGCAGAATCTCTTTAAAATATTTTTGGAGACATTTTCAGAAAACTGTAGGATCAAACTATCAATAACTGATTTGGACATCAGACCTTTTGCAAGCATGTTTTTTTTCCTGCTACCGCATAAAAGATCTGCAAATCCTGTTGCTCAAAAGAGGAAAGAAAAAGAAAAGAAAAAATGATTCATGGGATACATGCAGTCTGGAGCACCTTAAAGGAAATTTATCTTGAAGACCAAATCTGGACAAGACAGGCATAATCCCCTATATCCTTAAGATAAAAGCATCTTTCTTGATATCCTATTTCAAAGTCAACTGATCACTCACAGGATTGTCAGATACTAGTTGCCTCAGGATACTGAATATTTTCAAATAAGTAAGAACATGCTACAGTTTGATGTTTCAACTAAACTGCAACAAAACCATTGTAGCCTAGATTTAGCTTTAGAAATAAGGAATTTCTGAACAGTTATTTGACAGCGGTTCCCAACGTTTTTGGGGCCGCAAACTAGCTGGAGGGAACGAGCTCCATGCGTGGTGGGGATGGGGGCACCCCCACGCTTGCGCGGTGGGCATATCATGCTCGCACACATGTGTGTGAGCGTGACACACCCTCTGCAGGTGCGACACGCCCCTGCACAAGTATGACACACCTACTGTACCCAAGCCCACAGACCGGCACCAGGCTGGGGGTTGATGACCCCTGTTATAAGACATACACTGGAGTACAAAAGGTCCAGTTTCACTCAAAAATATGATTTCTTGCAAAATGGGGAAATACCTCTTGGATTTACATACAACAGCAGCTATTTTGAATTAAGCCAGCTTTTATGCATCTTTATGGTTTGGGGTAAATTATTCATACCCAGACTGCTCAATATTAAGAAAAGTTAAAATGTAATATTATATAATCTAGTATGGTTTTCTAGAACTGGATGCTGGCATAGAGTGGCAGGTGTACAAACAAACAACAAAAATAATTCAAAGCGGTAGAATGCACAATTCTTCACTATGGTTTCATTTGTATGTCATTTAAGACAAGTACAAATGGTTAATAAAACAAGAGGAACAGAGGTAGTATGATGAAAAACAGCACAAAGATATGGTAAAGCCACTCTGTGTAGCCATACAGTACCTGGGAGCTGAATCTGTGAACATCATCAGAGGCACTGACTAGATCAATGGAAGACATGGAGGAAGAGCGACTATAGGGCTAACAGAGACAGACAAAGAAAAAACCAAGTAATCAGAACAAAGGCACAATAGAGCATTCAGTACCAACTTCCAAGCACAAGATAATGAAGAAAAGGAAAAACAAAAGCACCATAAGCAGCGAGTCCAGCAGCAAATGCTGACTTCATGCACCTATTATGTATTATGCTCCCAGCACTATCTTGTGAAGAATTCACCTTCAGAAAACGCTAAATATTGTTGGCTGGATTTGATGTACAAGATGTGTTGAGTTCAAAACACAGTATCTCTGACCAAGGTTCTGTAGGAATCTGACAAATAAAACTTTTCTCTCCTAGGTTGTGAATTTTGTTTCATTTAGTTTCAAAGCACAAAAGCTGAATAGAAGAAATGCTTCCAGATGGCGCAACGCAAGCCAGCATCCTTCATGTGCTTACTAGGAACCTTCACAGAGTACATCAGAGCAGTTCAGGTATTGGGCAGACTACAACACCTTACCTTTTGGACAAATCTGTGGGTCCCCATACCAGAAAATGCATCCCCGGGTGGCATTGATGATGGCCAGTGTAACCTGACCTTTTCACTCTGAGTCTAGAAGGGGAAAAAAGTACATTTATTTGTTTGCAATTTTAAATGTTGCACACCTACATCATCAGAAAGTTGCTGAAGCAATTTCCTAGGGCAGACATGACATAGCATGAATGTTAAGAATGTATTCTTAAGTTAAGAATGCAAAGCCTTAGGCATAAAGGCTGTGCTGCAAAGAGACATCCATTGTCTCCCGATTAACACAATGTGGGGAGGATGAGATTAAAAATGCAGAAAAATTATAATGCAGGGAATTTATCAAACCAGCTTCATTTCACTGCACTCATTAAAATATTACAATTCTAAATACTCCATATTTATAGTAGCTTGCCAGACTACAGCAGATATTACTTTAAACAGTCACTCAAAATATACTTTGTATATAGGAAAGTGGGATGTTTTAACAGAAATGAAATCCCTGTATTCCCTGTATTAGCCTAAAGATAAGTGTACAAATAGTGTTCATTATGTGTTTTTCAAGAAGATTGAATAGATTTCCTTTATGACATACACATCCTGTACTTAAGTGTGCATATGAATAGGAATTACCTGTTCTTCTATTTTATCTTGTCGATCAAGGGCAGCTTCAACAGCATCAAAGAATTCTTCTTCATTAATTAGACTGTTTGGACCTTCCTGCAACAAAGTTTAGTGAAGGATTAATCAGTAACACATCTAAATGAGTTTACTATAATAAAGCTATTATGTTCCTAGTTTTCAAGGGCAACATGATTTAGTTATCTAAAACCACAGCTGTATTGTTGGTAAAAACCAGGTGTTTTACAAAATAAAATAAAATTATTCTATTTTTTAGACTTGATCGCAACATTATTTTTGGTGTTTATGTCTATAGTAAAGTGCAGATGGGACTCTACTATTCTGTTCCCAGATTAAGATACTTGCCCAAAATAGCTGGATTAACTTTAACATAGTTAAACACAGACTACTACTATGCTGAGAACACAGACAAAAATCTAAGTAGACCAGAATCTTCCACTACTCAGATTCAGTGGATGAACAAGTTCTAATATCAGAAGGGAGGAAGAAAAACGTCTCCCGGTCTACTTTTTCCACTCATGCATAATTTTACATACTATTATTTCCCTCTTTATTGTTCCCCGTTTTCTAAACTAAATAGACAGAAACATTGTGCTTTTTCTTTAGAAAGGAACTATGATAGCTCTGTGATCATGTGGATGCTCTTTTCTGTCCCCCTTCCAGGTACAAAGACTAAACCAATTATAATTTTTTCAAATTTACATAAAATACATTCTAGATAATTACAACAGAACCAATGATATACAGACATGTAAGTTCTCTTGCTACTCTCATAGGATTTAGTTTTAAAATCCTAGTTGTAGACTCTTAAATGCAAGCTAACCAATACCAACATGATATTAAGGAAGAGAAGAAAGATTAGAACCTAAGAAAAGTTACATCACAATGTCAAGATACTACAATCCTTCACTCAGTAACATGAGTGTTGATCTATTTCTTATTTGATTATTTAAGATAAGGAAGGGGAATGTGTGTTGCTCTAGAATTTGCTGGAGCATAATTTCCATCAGGCTTCTCCAGAACAGCCAATGGTGAGAGGAGTTTAGTCTTTCAATATCTGGGAGGGACACTCATTTCCTACCCATGATTTAAAGGCTTTAGTCCTTTAGCTGCACAAAGATTTAAACAGCTCCTATTTCTAGTCTGAAATCTCATAAGCAATGAAAACATATTGCCATATACCTGCAGCATAACTAGTTCATCTACAAGATCAGAATGCTTCCAGTTGTGGCCCTTTTCCTTCAAAACGTCCTTACTGTTCTTCTACAGTAATACACTTGGTTTAATGGAAAATTTTAGACTATTCAAATTCGTCCAGGTGGAATGTTCAGATATGTTGCCTTTCTCACATGTTTACAACCACGATCCATAATCAAGAACAAATGCTTCAGCCTGTCACATTTAAAATCACTTAATATATGAAGCAAAATAAAGGGATGCTGTGAGAAAACTCCTCTTTTTATTATTTAATGGTGAAAAAATTAAGTGAACAGTTTTAGGCGAGACGTTTATTTAAATCATTGTTCTTTAAAAGTGTCGGGCTTTTCTGAATCCTCAAGACTGTACTGAAACTTTGCTCCCAGGTACTCATTATCAGGTAAACACTGATAGATCAATATTTAAAGAGTGGGCTGTACTGCTGGTTATTTTGATATTTTTCTTGAAGCGATCACATTAGAGTACACAGTCCATGCTTAGCTAAGACTAGAGCCCTGGTCTAGCAGTTCATACCTCATAATCTGGCCCTCCAAAATGAGACTTTTTCTTAAGCTCTGTCATAGCATTTTTGTATGCTTCTTCTATTCTCCTTCTTTTTTCAACTTCCTGAAAGAAAGTATATAGAAAAAAAGAGAGATTATACCAATGAAATACTCTGACAAAAATTAAGTTTCTGACAGCACCTTTATAAGTTCTTGTATCACCCCCTAAGATACTGAAAGACAGCAGACTCAGGTTAAAGTATCAAGGATGAGCAACTGTGTACCTCCAGTTGCTGTTGGAGCTGTCTTGATAGCTCAGTGGTTTAGGTATCTGGCTGAAGAGCCAGAGGTTGGGAGCTTGATTCCCCACTGGGCCTCCTGCAACTTCTGCCAACCTGTGTGGCCTTGGAAGAGGGCATTTGTTACAATAAGGATGTACAAACAGGACATATAAATAGGTAGTGTAAAAGTTTGTTATGAACAGTTACCACAAGAGACTGAGAATGGAGTTATATACTGCAACTGTCTTCTTGTGAACCAATTTTCATACATTGGAACCTCGACTTATGAATGTCCCTACCTACGGAACATTCCAACTTACGAACCACTCTGTTCGCAAAATTTTGCTTCAACTTGCAAACAGAGCTTTGACTTACGAACACAAAAAGGCAGGGGGAAAGGGCGGGAAATTTGAATTTACTGTACTAACCA